CGTAAAAAACAAATTTCAAAAAGATTGCAAATATAAATATCAAAACAAATGCAAAAAGTGTCAAAACATTACTTCGACTTCGTGGATGGGTAGTCATTGATAGGCAGTATATAGGGAGTGTAACCAGTAAAGCTGAAGATAATCTATTGTTTTTTCAGCTAATATAAATATCAAATACACAAAGCACAGACTTTTTTTGTTAAATTTTAAGAAGTTGCAAAAAAGTGTCACAATATGATTTCGAACCCGTGACTTCGAACTCACGCGCGAATAATCATTGATAGAAAGTGTAACCGGTTAAGCTGATGATCATTAATTGTTCATATGATCATTAATTGTTCATTGCGGTACAATAAATATCAAATTACGGAATTAAGTGTCGGCATACGATTTTTGTTTGAATTTAATTAGAATCAAAATATATCACGACTTACCTCGACAACATGAAAGACCGGATGGAGATATCAAGCATAGACCGGTCATTGAAGTCTTCCAGTGTGGTAACGTGACGAAACGAAGACTGATCAAGAAGACAGGATGGAGCGTAGTGGAGATGTGACCTGTCCATACGTCCGAACTTTAAGAGTTTCGAAAAAAAAAACTCTTTGTCAATATAAATCAAGGTCAAAATTGGGATTAATTGAAACTAAATCTTAATGAAACATTTTTATAGAAATAAAAGTATATTATGACATTTTCTATTTCAATGTGTCATAATTTAGCAAATTTCTCATCGAGGAGGAAAACAAAAATATAATCTAGACTTACTTGAATAGAGAGATGAAAGAGTAAACGGCTAAAAACGCAAAAAAAAAAAATTGTTAATCAAATATTTAGGATTAGATATAAAACTCAATTAGTTAAAGGAAAAGAGCTATAAAATATTTATAGTTTAACAAAATAAAAAATAAAATTGCGTATTATCAAAGTGGATCACGTTTGGGAATGGCTTCAAATATTTTTGTGTATATGGTTCAAAACATAACTTAAACCATAAAAGGTAAATTGAACCAAGAGTAAAAGATAAATTAAACCAAGTTCAAATCAATTAATTTGATGAAATAATAAAAGGAGAAAAAAAAAAGTAGGTCAATTGACTCACCATTTATGTACGTGGCTTACCATATATATTTTGTTGGAGATAGAATAAATTTTATGTGTTTGACCCAAAAAAAAAAAGAATAATCTTTTTGTTTAATTTCGGCAAAGCTCTTAGCACCACGTGTATATTTAGGTGAAAATTTTTTTTTTGGTGAATAGGGGAATTTTGTTTGTGTAGTTGGTCTATCAAACGGATCATAGAAGTGTTTGAGTCTGAACGGTCCAATTAACTTGATGGATTAGTGACATAAGACTCCTTGAAGAGACTTATAGAGATGGCATGATGGGAACAATAAGCTAGCTTTAACGCTCTCTCTTATTGTCCAGTGGATGGATGTGAAGAGATGGGATCTACTTTCACGCTCTCTCTTGTTCGATAAAAAAAATAGAGTTGAAGATGGATCGATAGCATCACATAGATGATGAGAGGGTCTCTAATACTACATATATTTGCTCAGTTCTAAGGAAATCCACACAAAAAAACAGAAGCAAAGGTTCTTAGCTCTTGAAGAAGAAGAAAGACGACGTTTTTATTGATTAGGTAAAAATTTGTTCTTACAACGGGAACTTTATAATAGCTCATCAGCTAGCCTTAGGTCCGAAAATACCAAAAAAAATGTACAAAACACAACACAAATGACAAAAACAAAAGGCAAAAATCATTCTAAGTATAAAGAAAAAATAACAAAAGAGGAAACTATGTCTGGTTTCTTTCAAATTGGCTGAAGCCCGGACTGGGGTCACTCATCTTACTTGCACAAACTTAAAATAATGTAAATACCTAGTGAGCTTGGTCGGAATGGGCTTTTTCTGGTTCGTTTCTTGAGTAGTCTTTGGTGTAGTCTTCATCTTGAAGTCCCTCAAAGTGTTCATAGTTGATTTGTTCCACGTCCTTTATTTGCCAAAACGTATTCACGCTCCATTTGGACTCTTTATCGACTAAGCTGCTTGTTTTAGTGATATCTTGATGCTCCGACGCTATCTTTAAGGCATTCTTGATGTAATGAA